TTTCTTCTTTAATTCTTTTTTATCCTAAGACACAAACAAGGAGACAGCAAAACTAGCAGCAATATCAGCAGCAGCAGCAGCTGCTGCTGCTGCAGCAGCAACACCCCTCTATCTCAGTCTCGATTCAACGTGCTGCTCCTGCTGCTGCTGCTGCTGTTGCTGCTGTTGCTGGTGCTGCTGTTTTTCCTGCGGCTATGGTTGTTGCTGCTGCGGTTCCTGCTGCTGTTTCTGTTGCTGCTACTGCTACTTGTGCTCTTGCTGCGTCTGCCTCTTGTGCTGCTGCTTCTGCTGCTGCTGCTGCTGCTGCTGTGGGGTTAATGTATCTGTGCATGCGCACCTGGCTGACTGCTGCTGCTGCTGCTGCTGCTGTGGGGTTAATGTATCTGTGCATGCGCACCTGGCTGAGTGCTTGCTTTGCTTGCTGCTGCAGCGTGTCGGTTAGCTGCAGCAACTCGTATCTCCATCTCGAGAGGTACTTTCTTTCTGCTTCTAAATGAGCTGTCTCCTCTCTAACTGTCTCCTTTACATGCGCTGCATCTGCCTTTGCTTCTGCTATTGCAGCAAGCGCCAAACGCGTACGCTGATCAGATACTGCAGCACCAAACACACAAGCAGCAGCAGCAGCAGCAGCAGCAGCAGCAGAAACAGCCGATCAATGGAGCTGTGAAGTGCTGCAGCCGAGTGTATACAGTTGATGGTTTAGCGCTTATGAGGGTTTATGAAGGGCTTATTAGGGTTTATAAAGGGTTTATTAGGATTTATTAGGGTTAATAAGGGTTTAATAGATTTATCAGGGTTTGTATACAAGGGTTTATTAGGGTTTATAAGGGTTTATAGATAAGGGTTTACAAGGGTTTATAAGGGTTTATAGATAAGGGTTTATAAGGGTTTATAGATAAGGGTTTATCAGGGTTTATAGATAAGGGTTTATTAGGGTTTATAGATAAGGGTTTATTAGGGTTTATAGATAAGGGTTTATAAGGGTTTATAGATAAGGGTTTATAAGGGTTTATAGACAAGGGTTTATAAGGGTTTATAAGGGTTAATAGAAGGAAGGTAGATAATGAAGAAGCAAGAAAAAGTAATAAAATAATAAAAATAAAGAAGAAGCAAAGACGCACTATCA